TTGTCTTTACACACACTTTGGACAATGTAATATAATTATCTTTACACACACTGGGGACAGTGTAATATAATTATCTTTACACACACTGGGGACAGTGTAATATAATTGTCTTTACACACACTTTGGACAATGTAATATAATTATCTTTACACACACTGGGGACAGTGTAATATAATTATCTTTACACACACTGGGGACTGTAATATAATTTCTTTACACACACTGGGACAGTGTAATATAATTATCTTTACACACACTGGGGACAGTGTAATATAATTGTCTTTACACACACTTCAGACAATGTAATATAATTATCTTTACACACACTGGGGACAGTGTAATATAATTATCTTTACACACACTGGGGAAGTGTAATATAATTTCTTTACACATCTTGGACATGTAATATAATTATCTTTACACACACTGGGGACAGTGTAATATAATTATCTTTACACACACTGGGGACAGTGTAATATAATTATTGTCACACCACTGGGACAGTGTAATATAATTATCTTTACACATACTGGGACAGTGTAATATAATTTCTTTACACACACGGGGACAGTGTATATAATTATCTTACACACACTGGGGACAGTGTAATATAATTGTCTTTACACACATGGGGACAATGTAATATAATTGTCTTTACACACACTTGGACAGTGTAATATAATTTCTTCACACACTGGGGACATGTAATATAATTGTCTTTACACACACTGGGGACAATGTAATATAATTTCTTTACACACACTTTGGACATGTAATATAATTGTCTTTACAACACTGGGGACAGTGTAATATAATTGTCTTTACACACACTTTGGACAGTAATATAATTATCTTTGCACACACTGGGGACAGTGTAATATAATTGTCTTTCACACACTTTGGACAATGGTATTAATTATCTTTACACACCTGGGGACAGGTAATATAATTTCTTACACACACTGGGGGACAATGTAATATAATGGTCTTTACACACTTTGGAAATGTAATATAATTGTCTTTACACACACTGGGGACTGTGTAATATATGTCTTTAACACAACTTTGGCAAGAAATATAATTATCTTTACACACACTGGGGACAGTGTAATATAATTATCTTTACACACACTTGGACAATGTAATATATTATCTTTACACACACTGGGGACATGTATATAATGTCTTTAACACATTTGGACTATGTAATTAATTATCTTTACACACACTGGGGACAGTGTAATATAATTGTCTTTACACACACTTTGGACAATGTAATATGATTATCTTTACACACACTGGGGACAATGTAATATAATTATCTTTACACACACTGGGGACAGTGTAATATAATTATCTTTACACACACTGTTGACAGTAATATAATTATCTTTACACACACTGGGGACAGTGTAATATAATTATCTTTACACACACTGGGGACAGTGTAATATAATTGTCTTTACACACACTGGGGACAGTGTAATATAATTGTCTTTACACACACTTTGGACAGTGTAATATAATTATCTTTACACACACTGGGGACAGTGTAATATAATTGTCTTTACACACACTTTGGACAATGTAATATAATTATCTTTACACACACTGGGGACAGTGTAATATAATTATCTTTACACACACTGGGGACAGTAATATAATTATCTTTACACACACTGGGGACAGAGTAATATAATTATATTTACACACACTGGGGACAGTGTAATATAATTGTCTTTACACACACTGCGGACAATGTAATATAATTATCTTTACACACACTGGGGACAGTGTAATATAATTATCTTTACACACACTGGGGACAGTGTAATATAATTGTCTTTACACACACTTTGGACAGTGTAATATAATTATCTTTACACACACTGGGGACAGTGTAATATAATTGTCTTTACACACACTGGGGATAATGTAATATAATTGTCTTTACACACACTTTGGACAATGTAATATAATTGTCTTTACACACACTGGGGACAGTGTAATATAATTGTCTTTACACACACTTTGGACAATGTAATATAATTATCTTTACACACACTGGGGACAGTGTAATATAATTGTCTTTACACACACTTTGGACAATGTAATATAATTATCTTTACACACACTGGGGACAGTGTATTATAATATGTCTTTCACAACACTGGGGAAATGTATTATGTCTTTACACACGCTTTGGCATGTAATATAATTGTCTTTACACACTGGGGACATGATAATATATTTGTCTTTACACACACTTTGGACAATGTAATATAATTATCTTTACACACACTGGGGACAGTGTATTATATTGTTTACACACACTTTGACAATGTCATATTATCTTTACACACTGGGGACAGTGTAATATAACTGTCTTTACACACACTTTGGACAATGTAATATAATTATCTTTACACACACTGGGGACAGTGTAATATAATTGTCTTTACACACACTTTGGACAATGTAATATAATTATCTTTACACACACTGGGGACAGTGTAATATAATTGTCTTTACACACACTTTGGACAATGTAATTTAATTATCTTTACACACACTGGGGACAGTGTAATATAATTGTCTTTTCACACACTTTGGGCAATGTAATATAATTATCTTTACACACACTGGGGACAATGTAATATAATTATCTTTGCACACACTGGGGACAGTGTAATATAATTATCTTTACACACACTGGGGACAATGTATTATAATTATCTTTACACACACTGGGGACAGTGTAATATAATTGTCTTTACACACACTTTGGACAGTGTAATATAATTGTCTTTACACGCACTTTGGACAATGTAATATAATTATCTTTACACACACTGGGGACAATGTAATATAATTATCTTTACACACACTGGGGACAATGTAATATAATTATCTTTACACACACTGGGGACAGTGTAATATAATTGTCTTTACACACACTTTGGACAGTGTTATACAATTATCTTTACACACACTGGGGACAGTGTAATATAATTGTCTTTACACGCACTTTGGACAATGTAATATAATTATCTTTACACACACTGGGGACAGTGTAATATAATTATCTTTACACACACTGGGGACAGTGTAATTATAATTGTTTTACACGCACTTTGGGGACAATGTAATATAATTATCTTTACACACACTGGGGACAATGTAATATAATTATCTTTACACACACTGGGGACAGGGTAATATAATTGTCTTTACACACACTCTGGACAGTGTTATACAATTATCTTTACACACACTGGGGACAGTGTAATATAATTGTCTTTACACACACTTTGGACAATGAAATATAATTATCTTTACACACACTGGGGACAGTTGTAATATAAATTATCTTTACACACACTGGGTACAGTGTAATATAATTATCTTTACACACTCTGGGGACAGTGTAATATAATTATCTTTACACACACTGGGGACAGTGTAATATAATTATCTTTACACACACTGGGGACAGTGTAATATAATTGTCCTTACACACACTTTGGACAATGTAATATAATTATCTTTACACACACTGGGGACAGTGTAATATAATTATCTTTACACACACTGGGGACAGTGTAATATAATTATCTTTACACACACTGGGGACAGTGTAATATAATTATCTTTACACACACTGGGGACAGTGTAATATAATTATCTTTACACACGCTGGGGACAGTGTAATATAATTGTCCTTACACACACTTTGGACAATGTAATATAATTATCTTTACACACACTGGGGACAGTGTAATATAATTATCTTTACACACACTGGGGACAGTGTAATATAATTATCTTTACACACACTGGGGACAGTGTAATATAATTGTCTTTACACACACTTTGGACAGTGTAATATAATTATCTTTACACACACTGGGGACAGTGTAATATAATTACGGAAACTTTCTCAGCCAATACGACCTTGAGGCCAGACGACCCTGGCCTCAAGGCCGGGCTCTGGGAGCACAAAAACACTAGGAACTCATCAAAGGTATACACAAGCTTATTATATCAGCATCACTGAAGGCTAGTTCATGGAGAATCAAGAGAAACAGCTGCTCTTCTTAAACGCCCTTATTTCTTCTCTGTATATCTGTTAATACGAAGCTGTTGTTATTGATGCTGTCAAAACAAAAGCTATGTCAGCTTATATATGCTGTCGAATATTTGATTACTAGAATGTGGCAAATAAGAGTCACTGAAAAAACTCTTTGGCAGCTGACCTCTTAATAAGGAGTTATAAGAAAGAGTCACGGCTAATGTTTCAACTCTTTTAAAAGTGAAATTAAATCATCTAAGAAATCAAAGTAAGAATTTTTCTGTCTGTAGTCCAAAATATCAAGCATATTAAATATGCGTAATGAGACCAACAATTCATGATACACACTGGTTCCCTGAGACTCCTCATGACTTACGTCTGGAATAAAATACACAAGAGTGAGAAAAGATCTTTTTTTTTATCGGATTATTAACCAAATATCTGCCAAGAAAACTAAATGATATTTTTATTTCCATTGTCAAAAGTAAAGGGAATTACAAATGCAGAGGAGTAATTACGGCAGAATTATGTTGTTTTTATTATAGGAAAAAATTTTGATGTTACTTGGGACGTTTACCTTTCGAATGTAAATAGATAATTTTTTTTATATTTATAAGAGTCTGTCTTCCAAAGACAGTGTACTGAACTAATAAACAGTATAATGAATCTTTACTCAAATAAAATAAAATAAAATTGTTTTATTTCTCAATCTGAAGAGCAAGTTATATGTAAAACTATGGAGAAATTTCCAGCTTTATTGAGAAGAGCTATTTAAAAAAAAAAAATCTTTTAAATAAGTACGGAAAGCACAATTCATGACTTTCTGGTGAAAATGGGAGGGAAATATTGAGCCAGAAGTTGGCCTTGAGGGAGGTGTGCGGCAACAAGAAGCAGTATATAAGACACAACTGAAGAGTTTCTTCAGTCAGTTCCTAGTGACAACACAGCAAGCAACATGAACACTAAGGTAACTCTCGCATTCTCACTATACTATGGCAGCTATCTTTAGTACAAATATGACTGATAGACAGTGAAAATACACAAAGGTTATATATGATAATAGATTCATGTTACAGATATTGATGGTGTTGGTGGTGGCAGCCGTGGCAGCAGCAGACAGCAGGGAAAGATTCGCTTATGGTCCCCCTCGAGTGAGTATCACTCAGTGGTTATCTTTATATATTTTAACTAAAACTCTTGATATCACTACTAGCAAGACCTGGATCTGGTTCGTCACAAATAAAATCTTCATAAATAGAAATAAATAACAGTGTCAAAAACTAATTAAAGCTAGGAAAACAAGTCTAATTGATGTTATATATAATGTCAAACCATATATAGATGCAATTTTAAGACTCATTTCATTCCACGGACATTAATAACATTCTATTATTTTGATTATTCAAAGGCATTCTCAGCTGAATCCTATGAGTCTAGTGAGGCTCGGTACAACTTCAACTATGCTGTGAAACACGACGACTCCGGCAACGATTTCGGTCACCAAGAGACCCGCGACGGTGACGACACCAAGGGGTCGTACTATGTACAGCTTCCCGACGGTCGTCTGCAGACTGTGACTTACTTCGTGGACGGTGACTCAGGCTACGTGGCTGATGTCCAGTACCAGGGAGAAGCTCGCTACCCTGACTCTGATGAGTCTAGGGAGTACGCACCACCCAGGCCCCGATACTTTGCCCCTGATTCACATGAGTCTCGTGAGGCTCCTGTTTACTCCCCACCCAGACCCAGGCACTACTTCCGTGACTCTAATGAGTCAAAATAATCACTCCAGTGTCCACCTCCCTGATCTATTCTACCCATTCCTGAAAGACAATTTATGTCAAAAACAAATGCAAATAATTCCATAAATCAACTGGGTTATTTCTTTGTTATTTATTACGATACTATTTATGAAATAAAGACTGAGCAATATGAACACAATATTTTCCATTGGTCATCCTTTCCTTAACTTGAGAATAAAGAATATAAAATCAAAGTCCAGAGAAACAAAAAAAACAGCCTAAATACTATAAAAAGAATCTTCAAAAGTCTTTACTGACCTGAAGTACTCCTTAATACTGAATATTTATATTCTTACAAGAGTATGGCTCAAATTAAGTTTTTGATCTTATGAATATTTAATATGAATAAAGTTTATAATGAACAGTGAAATGAGCATAGTGTTGAATAGTATTATTGAATGATAGATTGGGACACAGGTGAGTTGAAAGTAATATGTACATAATAAATATATCGAGATAATTGGGAGTGGATGTGTCTAGGAACAACGAGTCGATCTACGGAACAGATTAAGGGAGGAAAATTGTATTTTTTTTAAGTCTGTGGTAAAAAAATGTTTGACAAATTAAAAATGGCGTACAAATTCCCCTTTTTCTAATATGTGAGAAGAATTGTGAGTGGAAATATTTGATCTCATATTTTTGTGTGGCGGGATAATTATGTCGGCAAAAATGATGAAGATCTTAGGTAGAATGGTAAGAAAAGTGGTTTGATGTTATTTGAGTATGAAAAAAAGTATGTTGATTAAAATTATGTATATATTAGAGGAGGCTGGAAAATGGTACTCCTGAGGAGGGGTCGAAGATGCTTTAAAAAATAAAGGGTTTTTGGACGACCTGCAGGCAGGTGTTAGAGAATGAGACAATTTCGTGGAGTTGGGTAGTTTATGGGGAACTGACGCTCTGTTTATTGAGAAACTGATCAATAAGATTTGTGTTTTAGAGGTGGAAAATTCAGTGCCTGATGTCCGTAAATGTGATGGGAACATTGCAATTCAAAGAAACAATTACCTCATATGACCTGGAAATAAATGTTCGGGCGCCATCGATGGGAAATTGTTTTCATATTTAGCTTGTCAGCTCTGACAGCAACTCACCAGCAAGGTACGATGTCAGCTCTGATAGCAACTCACCAGCAAGGTACGATGCCAGCTCTGACAGCAACTCACCAGCAAGGTACGATGTCAGCTCTGATAGCAACTCACCAGCAAGGTACGATGCCAGCTCTGACAGCAACTCACCAGCAAGGTACGATGTCAGCTCTGACAGCAACTCACCAGCAAGGTACGATGTCAGCTCTGATAGCAACTCACCAGCAAGGTACGATGCCAGCTCTGACAGCAACTCACCAGCAAGGTACGATGCCAGCTCTGATAGCAACTCACCAGCAAGGTACGATGCCAGCTCTGACAGCAACTCACCAGCAAGGTACGATGTCAGCTCTGATAGCAACTCACCAGCAAGGTACGATGCCAGCTCTGACAGCAACTCACCAGCAAGGTACGATGCCAGCTCTGATAGCAACTCACCAGCAAGGTACGATGTCAGCTCTGACAGCAACTCACCAGCAAGGTACGATGTCAGCTGAGACATGATGAACTAGAAGTATTGATTTTACTGGAGTATTAACATAAGTACAATGCCTGAGGAACAGGAGGTAATGAGGTTTAATTCAGGGAAGGGGTGATGCATGATGGACTCAAGAGCCCTTGGCCAGACGCTCACTCTTCCTGAATAGTATTAAAGAATGTATATATGCATGCGTCATTCCATTCTGTCACACTTTGGACAATGTAATAAGGATATTCAACCGAATATACTTGTGCCTTGGCCACATACGAGAATGCAGTTTGTATTAACATATGACTGCGCAAACCATACCACGGGTGGGGTTTAAACCTGCGGTCAGAGAGTCTCAAAACTCCAGACCGTCTCGTTAGCCACTGGACCAGCTAGCCACAATAAGATTCATCCAACTAGGTATATTTCTACACCATAGGAAAGTTAGCATAGGCACCTCTGTGACCACAAATGCAAGTTTTTACAGACGAGTCTCCCGTTAGCATGGCCGTGACGAACTCTAGCTCAAGTCCCTTCAAAGCCGTCAACATAACTCACGAAATCGTAATGACACGATTGCAAACAAACCACACAACGGGTGGGGTTTGAACTCGCGGTCAGAGAGTCTCAAAACTCCAGACCGTCGCGTTAGCCACTGGACCAGCTAGTTTCAATAAGATTCATCCAACTAGATATATTTCTACACCAGTGGTGCCTATGCTAACCTTCCTATGGTGTAGAAATATACCTAGTTGGATGAATCTTATTGTGGCTAGCTGGTCTAGTGGCTAACGCGTAGGTCTGGAGTATTGAGACTCTGGCCGCGGGATCAAACCCCACCCGTGGTATGGTTTGTTTGCAGTCGTGTCATTACGATTTCGTGAGTCATATGACTGCGCTGTAGTTCAATCTACGGTTGTAGTACCTCACTGTAACACCGAGGACTGCCTAAACGACTACAGATAGTGTTGAATGTTCGTATGAAGCATCCAATCCTCTTTTCATCTCCCTTAAGAACAGTTTCTTGTTTTTCCTTCTCGAAGAACCCGTTATTACATCTACAAGGAACATCCAACACGACAGTCTCCTCTCACACCTCCTTCGTTATCTGTCGTTAAACGAGAGATATGTCAACTTATCTAAGTCACTAAAATTCATAAATAACCCGCACTTAGGAGTTCAAAACTTATGGTGACGTTCCATCTCTGGAATTATGACTGTTTATTCTTTACGTTACTAGATAATGGCACTCAAGAGTCAGAGCAAAAAAAAAAAAAATCACACCTCTGGTACTCACACAGTTGGTACTTTCACAGTACTCACACAGTTGATACTTTCACAGTACTTACACAGTTGGTACTTTCACAGTACTTACACAGTTGGTACTTTCACAGTACTCACACAGATGGTACTTTCACAGTTGAAACTAACAGTTGGCAGCTAAGCTACGGTTAGAAAATGATCAGTGTCACTGAGAGGTAACGTTTCTACTCATATAAACATGAACTTGCATCATCTAAGGAATTGATCATCAATTAAGAAAGGCTTCTTCTTTCAAGATTTCAAAATATTATGCATGCCAGCAGTGTCCTATATTTGATAACTTGAATCAAAATTCGTTCTTTGCGCTTTTTGTAGACATTAACTGCCATCGTCTATGCATTCCATTATAAATGACTTGAGACCATTGTTTTCGGAAGATAAAACATCCATGATACCCGTGTTGCATTTTATGCCGCGGATTCTGGTTTCCTTTTCAGCATCCCCGATTAGAAACGAATTGATCTGCAAAAAATACTTAAACTATCGAAGGTGAACAATATTGCCCAAGCTGACCTGTTTCCTGAGATGGGTTCTTTTCAACGTCTCCAAAATATGGTGATCACAGACTGGATGTTAAGTAAGCCCGACAAAAAAAAAAATATACATTATTATGGCTAGTGAAACACATGTGCCAAATATTGTACAAAGTTAGAGAGAAATAGAGAGCCATAACCTGGCCTTGAGGAAGGTATGCGGCAACTCCATGCAGTATATAAGAGTCAACGGAAGAGAGTTCCTGCAGTCAGTTCCTGGTGACAACACAGCAAGCAACATGAACACTAAGGTAACTTTCGCATCCTCAGTCTAGCAGCTGTCTTAAATATGCTATATACATTAAAAAAAAACTAGCGTGCATACCTAAATGTTAGATATAACTAAAAGGTAATGTTGCAGATATTGATGGTGTTGGTGGTGGCAGCCGTGGCAGCAGCAGACAGCAGGGAAAGATTCGCTTATGGTCCCCCTCGAGTGAGTATCATTTAGTATTTATCTTCATCTATTATTGCTAAAGAGCTTGATATCACTACTAGCAAGATAATGATTTTTGTTGATCACTAAGAGTATCATTTGATCAGATAAAGTCAACAGATATATACCCATTTTTGTCGAAATGTAATCATAATAAAATCATTATATAATAATAATCACAATGAAAACATATTTATATAGTAAACTACAACACGGGAAGATTTTAATGAATTCCATTTAATAAATATTTTCAAATTTTCTGCTGATTTAGTAAAATTGTTCAATGTAATGCACGCAAAAAGTTAAAAATATTACATAACTATATAACTTTGAAAGTTATGTGCAAAAAAAATCAGTAGTCTACCTGATAAAATTAAAAATCGATTCATCTGATGTTAACATTCCTTATATTTTTCCTCTTTATAGGCATTCTCAGCTGAATCCTATGAATCTAGTGAGGCTCGGTACAACTTCAACTATGCTGTGAAACACGACGACTCCGGCAACGACTTCGGTCACCAAGAGACCCGCGACGGTGACGACACCAAGGGGTCGTACTATGTACAGCTTCCCGACGGTCGTCTGCAGACTGTGACTTACTTCGTGGACGGTGACTCAGGCTACGTGGCTGATGTCCAGTACAAGGGAGAAGCTCGCTACCCTGACTCTGATGAGTCTAGGGAGTACGCACCACCCAGGCCCCGATACTTTGCCCCTGATTCACATGAGTCTCGTGAGGCTCCACGCTACATAGCACCCAGAACTCGCTACTTTGACTCCAACGAGTCGAAGTAATTCCCTGTGTGGCCATTTACGACCGTGCTGTACACTCTCCTGCCAACAAATTTTTTTCACATCTATATGTGATAATTATATTTATAACAATAAATTATTCTGCATAATTACATTTATAGTATCCTTCAACGAACGAAAAATTTAAAAAAGTGTTTTCTATATAGCCAAAAACAAGTCTAAAAGGTATTTCCAAATTATTTTGCCTTTAAGATTAAATTTTAATATCATGTGGAATAAAGACACAAATTCCACACTTAGGGCATTTAATTAAAAGTCGTCTTGGGCATTTGGGATTTTGTTTCAATCCAATACAGTTTTTAGTTTAATATTTTTATCATGCATCCCATACCCGTCCTATGGGTGGTAGTTAAAAAACAACAGAGGTACATAATGAGTCCGGGGACTGGGCCCCAAAGTTTTAATAACTGAAGAAGTTACAGTGGTAATGAAC